ATCTCAGTGATAAATCAACAAACAAATGAATACATCCATTAAATATTTTTTACTGGTTTTTCTAAACATATTCTGGTGCCACTTTGTTAAAAATGTAAGAGTTTATTTCATAAAAAGTCTTCTGGAATCATTAAAAGTAGGACAGTCTGGTAAAATGTGTTTTACTGTGAGAGCAATTGTGTACAAACATTGAGTAGGGTCTTCAGTTGGGTTAATCTTGTACGTCCAAGGACATCTGACATCTGGTAAAAATCACTTGATCAAATCTGGTCTTAAAATGTCTTAAGATTCTGTTTGAGATTTCAGGTTGTAATTCATATAGTTTTGTCCTATAGATTTAAAAAAAAATATTTATTCAAAGACAAATTTTTCAGTCTTCGCACAATTACGGTTAAAAGTAAATGTGGATAAACATTTTTAAATGGCATTTTTTTATGTTTCAATTTATTATAAACAATATCCAATTCATTTTTAAATAAATCACAGCTTTTATAAATTAAAAAGAAAAACATGAAATCATTTTTTAAATACTAGTTAAAAATACCATAATAAAGTCAGATTTTATAAGTGCCTATTTTAGTAAATGATCGTTTTTTTAAGTATATTTTTAGTCACAATTCCACTGAAAAGTGATTAGTTAAACGACCCCACTGAAGACCCCTGTGAAACCCATGACATGCACTATTACCTTTTGTCTCTGAATTTATTCATATTTAACTTTTTTGGAACTACTATAAAGGATCAAGTTTTGTCATGCTTAAGTGCAGGGGTTCCCAAACTTTTCAGCCCAAGTCTATTCTTCATCATTTAATTTTGGAGAACACCACTCGGAAACAATCCTCCATGTTCAGGCCTGTATTTATGTTTAATGTGAGTGCCGTAAAAGTGTCAGAAAGTTTAACCTGGTGCCATAAAATCAATTTGCTGTGGGTCACAAAAAAAATAAATAATCGTAAGGCTGTGGCTTTATATTTGCATGTTATTTTTTAATGTTTACTATTGACATCTTACATTATCAACATTCTATCTATTTTGGAAATCACCAAGCGACACCCCTTTATAGTCCAGCGACCCCCACTTTAAGAACCACTGTGTCACTACTATGTCCAACAAGCCTGACAAATACCTGAATACACTGTATAAACAAGCATGTCATTTTCTTTTAAATCACATCAAACCCACAGAAATGCAAAAAAAAAAAAAAAAGAATTTGGCAAACTTTCCCACTAAACTTTTATAGAGCCATTAGTATAAAAAGACAGTATAAACATTCAAATCTCTGCATATAAAACGGTGTAATACTGTCTAAACAAAACAATTGATGAGTATTAGAATTGTGTTCCTTAAATAAAACCTAAAACAAGTGTTTAAAAAAGAAACAAGTGTTAGAGAAAGACGTGTTAGTACCAGTAGTAAACAAGGATTTAGAAGGATCACCTATGCTTTACATTAAACAAGCTACTCCTTAGCAGTCCGGACACTCGGCCATTAGGCTTCCAGCGGCCTCACATGAGAAGGCCAAGCATTATCGGGTCAAACAGGGAGCACAACACAAAGACAGTGTGCACTCAACTGTAAAAGGCCAGCCACACTCTAATCGCTGCAGCAGCCACAGTCACGACGATGCCCTTGCGCACGCTAACAATCAAGCCATCTCTAATTTCATTGGTGGACATCAGCTGGACAGGTGGCCAGTCAACCAGTCGTTGGCTTCCCTGTCAAAGCGGCAGCAGTTCAGGTCCGCTGGAAAGCCCCCAAATAAACAGTCTGTCACCACCTCCGCCCCTCGCCCTCTCTCTCTCTCTCTCAAAAAAAGAAAAGAAACGAAGAGAAAATAAAAAAACATAGCCAGAGGATGTCTGTCACCTATTTGGGCTGTCTACAAAAAAAGTGTACCAGAATGCATATGATTTATTTTTTCATGCACAATCTCTTATAATGTGTGTCTATACAGATATAGATATATATACAATACTCAGAATTATTCAGTACAAGCCATTTTGAAAATAAATATTTGTATCAATTTCTCAGTGAATATAGGCAATGTATTTTGTTGCATTTAAACAAAACAGATTTATTAAACAGATAGATTTATTAAAATAATATTAAAGTCACCAAATATATTTAGAAACTGAAAGATAATACAATTAAATTCAAGCAAAAAAATTACAAAATTACAACTAAATTTAATCATCTATAATTTGTTTCTCTTGATTTTTCCTCTTATTTAAATTAGTATTTAATATTTTTCTATAACATAAAAATTAAGCTGTACTAGTTTTTGGCGCATTATCGTGAGTTATTTTGTTAGATACGCTCCAGATTTGGCTCAAGTACTGACTAATCGAATGCATTTGCACAAATATAATATTGTAGAACTTCCTATTAAAACTGTGAATGTAAAAGAGAGATTTGTGAGGGTTGTACTAATATATGCTGAGCGATAGATAGATAGATAGATAGATAGATAGATAGATAGATAGATAGATAGATAGATAGATAGATAGATAGATAGATAGATAGATAGATAGATAGATAGATAGATAGATAGATAGATAGATAGATAGATAGATAGATAGATAGATAGATAGATAGATAGATAGATAGATAGAATGTATGCAATACTGAAGCAAATTAGTAAATGTGTGCTTTAGACATGGAACGATAACCGTTTTTAAGAAATACTGCAGTTTGTAAAAGTCTACGTTTTAAAAAAATTTCTGCAATACCGCTCTTAAGGTATGTGCACGATTTTTTTATTTACGTGATTTTTTTTTTTGTTATTGTTTTTAGGACAACAGTATCTCCAGCAGAAAAGATATCCAAAGATGCTTTTTTTAAATTGTAAAAACATCTGCTTTTGAAACAAATGAAGACAGCAGAAGTGAATTATTAATTTGGCCTTACATGACGTTTATTGTCTCAAAATATTTTACATGTTTATTAAAAAAAAAATTGTGTTCAAAAGGGGAAAAACATTTGTTTTTTATCCAGACATTTAAAAAGAAAATATTTTAGTGAAGTAATCGCAATACAGCGAAATCGTGAAATATTGTTATTTATATCCAATATTTACCATACCGTCTAAATAGTGTACCGGCCCATGCCAAGTGTGCTTAGGTCGGTATCATTTCTTAAATCCACTCAAAATTACAAAAATTTTAAGCTATGCATCAAAATATTGATTATGATTATGGTGCAATATTAATTTCAACAGTATAGCAAATGTATTATTTTAAGGAAAATCGCAACAAAACAATAAATATAAATAAGTTAAAGAAAAAATTCGAATTTCCACTCCTGAGACCATTCTCAAACAAGTTTCCCCAAACACTCACCTCATGTCATTTTCAAACAAACTTTAGATTATCTTGCCTCAAATGCACCACCCTTTGCTTGAGGCAACATTGCTGTCTCAGTCTTGAAGCTCAAACAATGTTTTAAAAGCAATGTTTTCTAAATCAGCGTAACATCTTAATATTTACACCAAAATAGGATAACTGTAAAAATTTAACAACAGCAGTGCTACTGTGCACTTTCATAGATGCACATATTTCAGTTTCTTACAAGCACTTTTTTACATTCAGTTTCATACATTTGTCATTTTCTCAATCTTACTTAAGTCTTGCCTTAAGTTCTTATAAAGTATGTCAATTTCAAAAATGTAAGAATTGCATTGTAAAGTGGAACATATTGCCTATATACAACACAGTAAACACTTTACTTTATTTCTAGGACTGTGAATATCTGAAATCACCTTTTAACCAAGATTTATTTTCCTTGTGATGAAAGATAAAAACAATGACAGGGATTTAGAATCAAGCACCAAAATCTAATGCATTTAACATGGCTGTGAGCATACATTTATACTAAGCAGATTATTGTCCATTTGACACTAAAATAGTTATGTGTGAAGGAGTCTCACAGTTGACTATGTAAATGTAATTGTTATGCAATTTTGTTAAGTTGTCCAGTAACTCAAAAAAGATAGTTCATACTCTTAATCAAATCAGAATAGACCAAAATCTGACTCACTTACTGAACTACAAGCATCTCTAAACTAAGAAACTTCTTCACCATCACCAACTTGTTCATATATTAATATTTTAATTAAATATTAAAAATATTTACAAAAAAATAACTATAATATATTTTAACAGCACAGACTATCTAGTGAAAGCTGAACGAACTCTCCCTTCTGTAGAAATACCAGCCTAACGTTATATTCTGAAGAAAACACTGCCATTATCACACATTGTTCACCGTTGCCCAAAACTGGCACAAGCAAAACACTATCGAGATTATTTCGCCAAGGGCTCCAATTCCTAAGCGTTTCCATGCTTCTTTTTCCAGTCTGAGAGCGTTAATGTCCTCATTTGCACTTGCCATTAAATAATCATTCGTCTGAGCCGAGTGAGCGACAGCAGAGCCAGCGGCTGTGTTTGGTAAACAACACTTCACAATCAAGCACATTTCCCTGCAGACAATCAATAAAACACTTCTGACCGCCGACAGAGCAACAAAAACAAACATTCAGAGAGGAGGTGTTTTCCACAACAATCCCAAACGAAACAAAGCCACTGGGCTTCATTGCCATAACCATACAATGTGCCATGTGTACAGGCAACAGTCCGCTCATAGGGGGTTTCCTTACACAGTGATGCTCTTTATTGGGGGTTTCACATAAAATTCCAATGATATCTGGGCATGTTGTTATTAGCAAGGCTAAACAAAACGATCTGGCTGGCCCTTAGTTCCCCATGCAGGCGCATCGCGACGGGCTCAATGCAACAATCCCACAACACACGCGCACTACACTCAAAATATAAAAACACACACTCTGCGTGCTCTCCCGGAGAGACCGGGCGCAGAGATTCACAGTGTCAAATCAGCTCACCCACAGCATTAAAAGGCAAAGGGGTATATTTTCACTAAGCCCGCTGTTTTAAGAGAAATTGTGCAGGAGCAACTCCTGCAGCAGTCCTGAATCTCAGACTTACCCTGTCACAACAGGCGCCATCTTCCACAAACTCTCACCAAAACTCCAAGACTCGCGAGATCCTCCTCTCCCAGACCCTTCCAGCCACCGAGACAACAGAAGCAGACTGGAGGCTGAAGGAGTGAGGGAGAGAGAGAAAGGGGGCGGGTGACGAGCTCCAGGAAGGCGGGCAGGCTGACTGAAAGAAGAGGGCAGACACCACAACAACAGGCGTGGGAAACTCTACTGCTCTCGCGACAACTGGAAAACTCTCACCATACGGCTGCGTGGAGCGAGGCTCGTGTCATCGCGAGATCGGCGCGGAGGCTGCACGGATGGATGTTTTACAGTGCCGAAACACTGTTTATCCGCTCATAAATAACCTCCACGGGCGGAATTGGCAAGTTATTTTGACGTGGAAAATTGAGATTTCCCAGGCTCCGGTCTGATAAGGTTTGCTCACAAGATAGTTGTGTATTTATGGAGCTTGCTATCAAACCATTAAAATGACTGCAGGGTTGCAGAAATAAAGGGACGTTGATATAATACGCGTTCATTATAAACAAATATAAATACTGAGATCACGTTTTGACTTCTGTGTTAGAGGAACAGTTCTGTCATCAATTACTCACTGTGGTGGAGAGTACTGAAAAATCATACTTAAGTAAAAGTACCATTACTTGCCTTAAATGTAGTGCAAGAAGAGTAAATGTATCTGTTGTTAATATTACATAAGGTATGAGTAAAAGGTAGACCTTTTAAAAGTACTGGAGTAGTGAGTAGTACGCTGTAAAAACTTGATGCTTTTACATGTAATTTGTGAATGTGTGTAAACGTAACATTCTGTAGTTCATTTAGTTATTGCTCAGCAGGCACACATTATAAGATATTAATATTAGGTTAGATTTAGGTTGTTATGTCAGATGACCAAAATTCTATGTCTAGCCAACTTCTATGGCCAACATTATTTTGATTTTCAATAATGGAGTCAAATGACGTTAATATTTGGTCAATTTTAGGTTGATAGAAAGTGACCAAAGTCCAACATCGAGCCAACCTCAAACACCAACATCATAATAATGTCAAATACTCACATGTGCAATTTGATTGGGCAGGGATAACAGGACTGATTTTTCTAATCCACATAGACAAGAAAAAATAAAGTAGTGACTGCAGGTTGAAGAAAAATAGCGGAGTATTATTACCAATATAGCACTAAAAATGCACTCAAGGGTATGTACTTAGTAAATTACAATTCCTGAAAAAACTATTTAATTACAATAATTGGAGTATTTGTAATGTGTTACTTTACACCACTGATCCCTTACGTCAATTATTTCTGTAAATAACTTTTCATCGTGACATAGTTAGCAGAATGGTGACCGTTACCTTTTAAACTTGCAAATTTCATAAGCCCTGTAACACAATTTTCACAACCCTCTTATGATGTTATGGTTAAATTAGGGTTTATAATGGTGGGAAACTGCACAATAAGAGTTATATTGTTTGTGACATTACCAAATTTCCACCTCTTACAACTTCTAAATATGCAAGCATAAATGTGCGCTGGTCCAGAGCTTTCAGAAACAAATAATAGTAATACATCCTTAGAATTGTGTCTGGTGGGATTTAAAACGGGTAGAAAGATTACCAGTTATGAATACCCTAAATTTCTACATTTTCTTACTCAGAAGGTCTTTAAGTTAAGTTATAGCTGGATTTGTCGCATACAGTTAGATTCATTCATTCATTTTCCTTCGGCTTGGTCACTTTATTCATCAGGGGTTGCCACAGCGGAATGAACAGCCAACTTATCCAGTATATGTTTTACACAGCGGATGCCTTTCCAGCCATAACCCAACACTCTAAAACTCCATACTCTTGCATTACCCAATTTGCCTATACCACATGTCTTTTTGGACTGTTGGGGAAACCAGAGCAACCAGAGGAAACCCACGCTAGCACGGGGAGAACATGCAAACTCCACACAGAAATCCCAACCACCAACCTTCTAGCGGTGAGGTGATCGTGCTATCCACTGCGCCACCGTGACGCCCTATGTTGCAAAAAAATAATTGAATAGATTGTTAATAGAACATTTTAATATACTAGAAGTTCAAGAAAAGACTGTATTATTTAAATATTTCATACATGACACAATAAAACATGAAGACCTGTAGGCATTAGTTCAACTGAGGGAATCAGATTAAATAAGCACTGATCAATAGTGACACAGCTACAGTAAGTGCAAAGAATGAGCCAGCTGTCTGCTCTCATTGTTATCATATGGAAAGGCTGTCTGAGCCAAAAGTGGTATGAAACGTGTATTTTAATTCTGCTCATGCATATGCACGGTATTTGTTAAAATGGCAGTTTTAAACACTTCTTTAGTTCACAAGGACATTCACAGTTTGACAGTATTGATGTGGCAATTTTTATAGAAGACAATCATGTCAGATCTTTGAATGTGTACAAGTGCACTATTTTATATCCCTTATAAATAAACACTTGTATAAATATGCCAAAGTACCATTGCATCATATATGCAAATATAGAATAAATACAGCAATTTTATAAGTTGTTTTGATTGTTGATTTGTTGATCCAATTAAATTCCATGCATAATTTAAAGGCTTTAGGCTCAGATTCATTGCCTTTTCTCAGTAATATGGTGACACTTGTATAAATTTGTACTATGTAAATCAATATAGCATTAACATAAAAAAGGATGCCATTGTTATCTTTGGAAGGAGGGGTTACACTGAGTCAGGAAATACCTAAAAACTATTTGAGCTTTATTTCTTCTGTTGAACACATGGGAACATCTTCGTCTTCATCTTCTTATAATTTTATTATTACTGTATAACCTTTATTTTAACAGAAAAGACACATTTACATAAATTTTCTACTTCGGCTTAGTCCCCTTCCAGCCGCAACCCTTCACTGGGAAACATCCATACACATTTGTTCACACACATACAATACGGCCAGTAAATAAATGTTCTGTGACTGAAGGCCATAGCTAAGGACAGGCTTTTTACAAATGTAGTTCTGCCGATACGATGGGGATAAACCCAATATAGCTTTGTAAACAAAGGAATGCCAATGATTGAGCCTGCAAATGCAAAGCAGACCAACCTACCCTAGTATACAACACACAACGATGAGTAAGGGATTTAAAACTTGTTATCAATCTTAGTGCACCATAGTAAACAGTGTCAAATGCATGCAGACTCTGAGACGAAGCATGCATGCAGTTGAAGTCAGAATTATAAGCCTCATTTCTAAACATAACATTTTTAATAACTCATTACTAATAACAGATTTTTTTATCTTTGCCATAATGACAGTAAATAATATTTTACTAGATATTTTTCAAGACACTTCTATACAGCTTAAAGTGACATTTAAAGGCTCAACTAGGTTAATTAGGTTAACTAGGCAGGTTAGGGTAATTAGGCAAGTTATTGTATAACAGTGGTTTGTTCTATAGACTATTCAAAAAATATATAGCTTAAAGGGGCGAATAATTTTGACATTAAAATAGTGTTTAAAAAATTAAAAACTGCTTTTATTCTAGCCGAAATAAAACAAATTAGACTTTCTCCAGAAGAAAAAAATTGTATCAGACATGCTGTGAAAATTTCCTTGCTCTGTTAAGCATCATTTGGGAAATATTAGCCCAGTGTTGACATAAATGTTGCATCAGCCAGCTTATTTTAAAGAAGCTGAAAAAGTTTTTGACTTCTATAGTAGGAAAACAAATACTATGGAAGTCAATGGTGTTTTCCAGGTTCTTCAAAATATCTTGTGTTCAACAGAAAGAAACTCCAGAAGGAATAAAGGTGAAGTGTACAGTTTTAGGTGAACTTTCCCTTAAACCACAATGCCACTGGTTCAACAAAATGCCATAACAAAATGTCATATTATTAAAAAAATAAATAATAATTTTTATGCATAAATGTTTACCCCCTTAATCCACTGCTGAACCTAACTCATTTGAGCAGACTGATGCTCAAACAGACTGATACATTCCAAAAATTCCTTAAAAATTTTACTAGTATACGTGCATTATTTGGATTGGATTTATTTATTTATTGTTTTTGTTTTATCCACTTTTATTTTATTTTATTTTTACAGAAAAGAGAGAGATGAACAGGCTTTCTACTAAACATCTCTTTCATGTTCCACAGAAAATAGAGAAACAACATGAGGCTGACAATATAAATTTGAGTAAACTGATCCTTTTAAACACTGTTTTTCCAATATCTCTCTTGTATACTCCTGTTTTTTGTAAGCTAGGTTCTGAATTCCTCCTGATTATTTCATGATCTCGAAATGCACTTGACAGCTCATCTGATACCCTCTGTGCTGCATGGCTGTGAGAAGAGCGCACTGTTCAGGAATATTAAATAGCAGTCTTACTCTTCCGACTCAAGAATCTCACACCTGACCTCAAACTGACATTAATCCACGCTTTTCCAATCCTTCAGATGTATTATTGATTTTTATTTGCGCTTTATAATCTGTTTGACACAAGAATGAAGGAAGAGTGAAAGGAAAAGGAGCGTAATAAAGGAAGAAAATGTGAGAAGCAAGATAGTGGAAAAGAGTGACACGAGTACTAGGACGGATAGGTCTCAGAGAGACAGTGATTGGGGATTTAAAAAAGGAAAAAAAACAGGTTTAAATACAATCTGGCAACGAGCCTTCAGCCAAAGCATTCGGGGGAGGAAGCCTCGTGCACCAAAGCCCTTTTTCCATTCCTTTCCTGCGTCTTTTTTAACGATCTGAGAAAGTAACCTCCAGTTACTCTTAGAGTTTTATAAAAACTGTAAAGTTTTTTAAATCCTTTACAGATGAAACCAGTAAATGACTGCAGAAGTGCAAGTGTGCCTCACAACCACTGTACTAAAAGCCTGGAGATATGTGAAATTATGAGTGTTTCCAAGTTTAACTATTGGCTTTAAACTTTGACCCCAAAGTGTTATAAAACTAATAACATGTTTTATGGATACACACAAATATGATTTAACGTTTCCTTTAGGAATCCCCATAACTCTTTCCTGTTTCTGTACACACCGTAGGTTGTCCAGCTTGCCTCTAAGAGTTTGTTGGAAAAGTGTTTGAGACTTTGCCAAAGTTTGCCCTAAGTTAAAACTATTGCTTTTATTGCGGTTAAAACATCATTCAGTTTAATGTGTTTGCCCTGCACAATGATAACAGCATGACAGTATCACATATATATATATATATATATATATATATATATATATATATATATATATATATGGCTGATGCACTGGACTACGGTGATGTTATCTACAGTTGAAGTCAGAATTATTAGCCCCCTTAGATTTTTTTTCTTCTTTTTAAAATATATTCCAAAGGATGTTTAACAGAGCAAATAAATTTTCACAGTATGTCTGATAATATTTTTTCTTCTGGAAAAAAGTCTTATTTCTTTTATTTCGGCTAGAATAAAAGCAGTTTTTAATTTTTTAAACACCATTTAGGGACAAAATTATTTGCCCCTTTAAGCTATATTTTTTCTTGATAATCTGCAGAACAAACCATCGTTATACAATGCCTAAATACCCTAACCTACCTAGTTAACCTAATTAACCCAGTTAAGCTTTTAAATGTCACTTTAAGTTGTATAAAAGTGTCTTGAAAAAGATCTAGTAAAATATTATTTACTGTCATCATGGCAAAGATAAAATAAATCAGTTTTTAGAAATGAGTTATTAAAACTAATATGTTTAGAAATGTGCTGAAAAAAATCTCTCCGTTAAACAGAAATTGGGGAAAAAATAAACAAGCAGTATACAGCAACTGTATATATATATACATATATAGTGTGTGTATGTGTGCGTTTTATTTTTCTTTTATCACTCTATGGGTGTTAGTTCCTTTTATTTTGTGCAAAATGACTTTCTGCCTTCTCTTTTCCACTCCTTCCAGTATTGTTCCCTCATCTGTCTTGCAGGTCCCAAGTGGTTATTTTCAATGAAAGAGACCCATCTCAGGAGCTCAATGAAGCAGCATGTGCCGCCAATTCAAGCAATCACGACTAAACCACAAGTGTGCCGCACGTAAATCCAGTGTTGATGACTGCCTGTGCATTTTGCCAAGAGAAAGACTGGTCTCCAAAGGCAAGTCGCACTCCAGCGCAACCAGATGATACCTTTTAACCACAGACCTGTATAGTGTGTGGATTAAGGCCTGGGCCTTACAGATTTTAGATATTCATTTAGCAAAAATACCCATCACAGAGGAAACAGCCCTCTGAACTGTGATTAATGAGAGAAAAACTTTATAGGACAAATAAATCCAGCCTTTCCAGTGTGGTTATGTGGAGAGTCATATTCATAATGCAGAAAGATTTGATTTAATTAAGTTATATTTTGCTTTCTTTTGCACTGACTACTCCAAACACAGACACACACGCACGCACACACACAAACACACACCATGATGAAGTGTCACAATGTCAAGAAAAAGAGTGCTTTGGGATTTTAAACACCGTCAGAGTGCCTCAACAGAGACGTTACCCATTGAGCATGTTTACGATGTTCTACAAAGATCAGTGTATACGGAAGCGTGTTCCAGTTCCTGCCAATATTAAATTCTAATCAGCCAGTCACATGGCAGCAACTTAATGCATTTAAGCAAGAAGACATGGTCAAGACGATCTGCTGCAGTTCAACGCGAGCATCAGAATAGGGAAGAAAGGGGATTTAAGTTACTTTGAACGTGGCATGGTTGTTGGTGCCAGACGGGCTGGTCTGAGTATTTCAGAAACTGCTGATCTACTGGGATTTTCACGCACAACTATCTCTAGAGTTTACAGAGAATGGTCTAAAAAAGAGAAAATAGTAACTCGTATAGTCAATAGTAAAACAGTACAACCAAGGTCTGCCGAAGAGCCTCTCTGAACACACAACACGTCCAACTTGAGGCGGATGGGCTACAGCAGCAGAAGACCACATTGGGTGCCCCTTTTGTCTGCTGAGAATGGGAAACTGAGGCTACAATTCACACAGGCTCACCAAAATTAGACAATAGAAGATTGGATAAACGTTGCCTGGTTCATGAGGCTGAATTTCTGCTGCGCCATTCAGAATTTAGGGACAGAATTTGGCATGAAAGCGTGGATCCATTTTGCCTTGTATGAACGGTTCAGGCTTGTGGTGGTGTAATGGTCTGGGGGATTCTTTCTTGCCACACTTCGGAGCCATTAGTACCAATTGGGCATTGTGTCAACACAGTGCAGCATACGGTATATGTGAAGTTTATGTATAAACAAATTTCGAGAGGATCACGTGCTTATGATTGCTAGCAGCTGACCCGCATTATCTAATTCACTACGATCCAATCAGATGACTCCTAAATTACTATAAATACCCTGGGGTTTATTCCATTGCTATCTTCGTTTTGAAGAGTCCCCCCTTCCTCCCCTACTCCTCCTTCTTAGACGGGTGACACGGTGGCCCAGTGCCTAGCTGTCGCCTCACAGCAAGAATGTCTCTGGTTCCTGGCTTTACCAAAACTAGCAGACATTTCTGTGTGGAGTTTGCACTTCTCCCCGTGCTCACGTGGGTTTCCCCCGGGTTCCCCGGTTTCCTCCCACCACCTAAAAACATGCTATTAAGTCAATTGAACAATCCAAATTGTCAACATAGATACGCTTAGTTAGTAATTAATTTTAAGAGCATTCACTTGCTACAGCAGGGGAGTTCTCAAGATCTACCTGAGCTCAAACTCCCCTTCCGCCTTGCAACGGGAGGGAGCCCTGGGCTCGAGGATCTCATGAGCTCAGGGCTCTCTCCCGGGACAGCATGCCAAACAAGCTTTTATAATTAATCATCAGCTAAGTGTGAACTCTTGAAATATTTATTATATAATTCATACATAATATAAACAAGTACAGACTATTGCCATATATACTGACAACCAACAGAATAACTACAGACAGCAGACATGGTTGGGATGGAGGTCTCCTGTGTTTGTTTCTTCTTGGTTGATCCTGCGGAATAAAAAATAATGTAAAAGTAGTCCAGCTCTCCAGGAAAACCACAGATGTGGCAACACTAGCTCACAAATGTAATTTAGTAAATGTCATAGTCATTTCAGTAAATTGATCATGAATTGGCACATCTGTACATAGAGAAACCAAAAATGCAAAGGATAAGCTTATTGTTGAGTAAACACACTCTTGAAGTACCAAAATATACAAGTGCGAAGGTACATCATTTGCATAAAATAAGTTACATTTCTTGCTATCTGGTGAATTCACTTCTCCAAAAACACCCACACTGACAACCACCCGCCCAAACACACACACACACACACACACCCCATGATTTAAATCGTCACCGTTTCAAGAGTGTGCTGTGTATGGGTATCAGATAATATTTCTGTATCTGATAATGAACGCCAGCAGGCATCACAAGACACCACTGACATTTCACTGGGCTGGACTGACCTGTAGTTCAAGCAGTCAGCTGTATGAGTGTGTTTATATACAAACAAATTCATACGCCTATTCATAAACTCTATTAAAGAAAAAGGCAGACTAACTAATAAAGAGTCATCTTTAAAAGATGATCACTGGCTTCACATAGACATGGACCAAATCAGCACTTCTCTTTCTAATGTGAACACCGAATGGAAAATTCATTCTAGTAGGACTGAGAACAGCTTAAAAACAGTTTAGTGAGTCTCAAGTGAAATGTAAAGATGAGTCAAAAGCTCTGGGCTTTCAGCGTTGTCCCTGGGTGCACATCAATGAACGTAAATTTGCAATATTACCGCTTTTAGTGGGAGTACGTGAGCTAAGATGACGGCATCTGAGGAGAATTTCACACACACAAATCATTATCCTATTTGATGGGTGCTTGACATTTCAAAATGTCTCATGAACCAAAAAATAATTAATGAACTAACAGGTATTAATACCATAACTACAAGAGTCTGGTTTCCGACTTTTATTTTGAAAGGGTAAAAGAATGTCGGTGTTGCAAAAATATATTTTACAGTGCGAGGAAAACAGCTGATGAAAGTTAAAGACTAAACACTGTATCTCTAAATTCAGCCTTAGCCTTGAGCTGATGCACAAATCAGAGAAGCTGAGAGATGGAGCAAGATATAACCTATGAAATAATGTGGCAAATGGGAGAGACACAAGGGAAAAGTGCAACTTCACATGCAGTATTTGATTTAAAAAGGGAATCTGTAAAACAGTATAAGCACAAAAAAGACACTACTTAGCTGACTGGCTATTATTTATAAAATGTCCCTGTTAAAAGAAATGCCAGCAGTGGTTGCCAGAAGTTCACTGCAAAATATGTTGACATTGTATCCTTTGCATGTATTAGTATGGTAATGCACCAATACATACAGCAAGACTGGTGACAGAGTGGTTTGATGAACAAAAAAGTGAAGTTAAACATCTCTCATGGCTTGCACATTCACCAGATTTAAACATTGTTGAGCCACTTTGGGATGTTCCAAGAGCTTTTCCAGAACCTTTTATCCAATGCAAACGAAGACAACCAAAGTTATCAAAATAACAACAAATAATATGTTTCCAGTTCATGTAATGAAGTTTACAAGTTTTATATTAAAATACAGTATTATAATACTATACTATAAGTACTATAAGTATTATAGTTTATAGGAATAGTTTAGTTTACAATAGAATATATATAGGGGTTGGACAATTAAACTGACACTCCTGGTTTTAGACCACAATAATTTATTAGTATGATGTAGGGCCTCCTTTTGCAGCCATTATTGCATCAATTCATGTTGGGAATTACAGATAGAAGTTCTGATTTTGAGATATTCTTCTTGCAAAATAGTGGCCTGGCCAATGCATCATGCTGGTGGAGGAAACGTTTCCTGGTTCTCTCCTCCACAACACCCCAAAGTGGCTCAATAATATTTAGATCTGGTGATTGTGCAGGCCATGAGATATGTTTAACTTAATTTTCATGTCCATCAAATCACTCTTTCACCAGTTTTGCTGAGTGTATTAAAGTTTTATTATCCCCATACAAGACTTCAGGATATAATGTTTGAACCATTGGGTGCATATGGCCTTCCAGATGGTAGTCCTTGGCAGTGACACGTCCATCTAGCACAATTATTGGGCCTAGGAAATGCCCTACTATTGCAGACCAAACCATCATTGATCCACCCCTATGCTTCACTCCGGGCAAGCAACAGCGTGGGTGGTACGAATGTTTGGGGCTTCTCCACACCATAACTCTCACAGATGTAGGAAAGACAGTGAAGCTGGACTCATCAGAAAACAATACATGTTTTGCATTGTCCACAGCCCAAGATTTTTGCTGCTGGCACCATTGAACCTGATGTTTGACATTGGAATAAGTGAGCAACGGTTTGGCTATACCTGCCTGGCCATATATATTGAACCTGTGGATCTCCTGATAAACAGTTTTGGTGGAAATATAAGAGTTGAGCTGCAAATTTAATTCTGCAGTGAGTTGAGCAGCTGTAGTTTCATGTTTTTTGGATACAATCCGGGTTAGCACCAGGACATCCCTTTCAGACAGCTTCCCTTTTGCATCCACAGTTACTCCTGTTGGATGTGGTTATATTGTTCTTGGTGGTTTGCTGGCATTACTCTGGATACCGTGGCTCTAGATACATCACAAAGACTTACTGTCTTGGTCACCGATGCACCAGCAATTTGTGCTCGTTTTAACTCTCATGTGTCACCCGTAATGTTGTGCATTGAATATTTTAAGCAAAACTGTTGTATTACTCTCATAATCAAATCTTCGCACCCTGCTCTTATTGGTGTAATGTGCAATCAATAAAGATTGGCTACCAGGTAGGTCAAATTTAGCCTTGAAACCTCAAACACAAAATTGTAATATGTTCTGCTCTTGTCCCAAACTTTAAATGATTTTTAATAAAAAGCCCAACACTAGAAAACATGATTTTTTTTTCTCATGAAGGCGGTACACATTTAGGGTACAACAGTTGTACTTTGCGTCAATTTTAGCCCGCTAGTTAAAAAAACATTTTTAAACCACAAAAAAATACTCGTCCTACATCACCCAACCCGCTCCGAGCTGATATTGAACCGGCGCCCTTCTGCATGAGAGTTGGTTGCTTTATC